TTCGAACGTGTGTCCGCGCGATTTACGCAATACTAATTATGCAAACGAGAAAGGAACTCGCTGGAAAAATGCACGCTGGGAATAATAATGCTGTCGATCATGCTAATGGCGGAAGTGAAGGCGAGGATAATCGTGGAGGTAATAACAATGGCGTACGCGTCTCGCCGCGACCGCTGACTGAGAGCTCGGAGGTGATAAGGTTGACGTTAATGCATTGCGATCGGAACTGTACACGATCGCGAACGTTTTCGTCGTCTCTTCCACGGTCTGGCCTGCTTGCTTTCGTAATTTTCAGCAGACACCGACGTGGATCGGCTGGTAAAACGGCTGAGTGTGGTCGTCGTTAGTTGCGCGATCGCGAGTTGACAGTGACACCGATACCAGCCAGTTGGCACTGTTAATACGCGCCGCCAGATAACTTTTACATTTCGTGGAAATATCATCGATCTTCGATGTTATTTCTAATCATTCAAGAGGAACCTGGCAATATAAAAAAGATTTTTATTGAGAACTTGAAGAGAGAACGTATGTCACAAGGGATTATTAATGTTGATCGCCGAGCGCAAATCGAGTAGATTTTTTTATTCCTTTTTTCAATGCTTTCGTTTCTCGTTCTTTTTGTTAAGTTCGTGACATGTATGTGCTTCAGTGTTAGCTTGTCAAATTAGAAGTTTTTATACACTTTTTGCATCTGTCGAGACCCTTAGATCACATAATGTTTCCTCAATATAACACAGTATTATGTATCTTTGTATGTAAATAATGTAATCACTTCGAAATAATTCAAAAATTCACTATACTGTTGTTATATATCGTTGTTTGATATCGAGTTTAATTCGCTTGGTTGAAAAATGATTTACTCATTCTTTCTACTAAATATTATCTATCAAATATATTTATTATATCATCAGTTAAATACTTTTTGCTTTAAGATCTAAAGGATAGGATCGTCACTCAGCTCGACTGTCACCGAGATACGAGTCACGTTGTTAAGCCGAACGAGTATGATGCGTATTTTAAAAAGGTGACATTACACGAAATGAGAAGGGATGAGACTACAACGATTACGGGAATTAAAAACTTGAATGATTTCTAGAGCGTATTAAACGTCCTCTCGAAAGCAATAGAAATTCCTATAGTTTCTTCGTGCCCGATTCAGCACGTCGCAGAATCTCACGAATTCAAGAATAAATGAGCATCGCGTTTCCTTCGGCAACGTTTATTCGTTAAGCTTGTTTCTTTTTTGAGAAGAAACGTTATTAAAAAATTCCGGACGACGCGAAACAATTGGCCGACGTGTCGTTTCTTTGCCCGGCGCCCAGATTAGGAATCGACTTGACGAGCAAGGTTCGGTGAAGTAGAACGCACCCGAGGAAGTTCATCATCATCAAGTCGCGAGACCGCGCTGCGTGACCAGTATATACGGGACACGAAGGTAAAGCGAATTTGTACCTTTTACGGCTACCGCTCGTTAGGCCCGTGATTCAACAACGGCCTTCGTTTTCTCCTGCGAGGACGGCTTTCGTCGCGGAGAGCTTCACAGAGCCTCGTAGCCAACGTGTGGCCAGATAATTTTTGGCGGATGATTTGTGGACTCGCATTGCTGTCACTTTGACAGTTTGAAGTTTGAAAGTTCAAGAGAACTCTGCGATAAATATGAATGAAAATTTTGGCGGCTTTTGTCGCTCGGAAAGTTTCTAGGAACAGCGAAGGCAATTACAAAGCTTGCTGGATTTTTATTAAACTTGTTTCAGTGCTTTCAGATACGAACGAATCTTCAATAAATATCTTTAATAATTCAATAAACCTTTCGTTTCTGAAATACAGTCGCTCCAATTTCTGTTGGAAAATACTGAGTTTACAATCGTCCTTATACTCGCAAGATGTCACGCCTCGCCATATTTATTATAATTTATTGCTCGACGTATATATCGGTATCCTTATACACAGATTCTTTAATATGCCTTTAATTCAATAACATAAGTAAGTGGTTGTATTTCAGAAGCGAAAGATTCGCGAATTCTCTGTTTATTGAAGCATCGAATACGCGTAAATCTTCCTACACTACCTAATCGCTCTATATATTTTCTTTGACGTTATCTTTCACGTCTTCGCCGACGCCATCTTATTGTTAGACAAGACGATATTCATTCCTCCTTCATGGTACAACGGTAACTTCCTTGAACATGAGTTGCGTAAATAAATTCCATCGCGGAACGTACTTACGATTCGAGGATCGTGTCCATCAATCGCACAAGTCGGCCAAGATTCTTATATATATAAAAAAAAAAAAAAAAAAAAAAAAAAAAACGGCGAGCGTTCTACGAGCGTTGTACGATGTCGACGCGGACGGACTGCTGGTAATTATTCCCCCTCGCGCGGCTTAAACACAGTAATCTTTGAGTTTCTTCGGCCCGTTGTTCGTGATAGTCCACCTGTGCGCCGCTATAAATATTCCCGCAAATACAAAAATTGCAAGGCTCGCCCGCGCCGCGATCGCCATCACGATCGCTCACGCCACGGGAAATCACCCGTGGACGTTGAAAGAGGATGAGACCCGGTGAAAACTCGGAGAGACGCGCCGGTGAAATATTTTCGGCAAGCGGTCGTTAAGGCTTCCGCGCGACTATTTTTACCTGGCGTAAAAGACGTAAGTCGCTCTACCTACGTCGTTCGTGTTCGTGATCGTAAGGTATAAGGGATCGATGAGAAACGGAAGCGATATTCGCGACCGCGCCGCGTGCTAATCGGGTTTATCGCAGTGACACGCGATCGGTTTCAATTGTAATTTCAAATAAAAATTTTTGAAAGCGTAGCCTTCAATGACGATTCAGCTAGGAAGATGGTACTTTTGTTCCTATTGTACATTCGTTACGTAATTGATCATAATCATCTATTAAATTCCCGTTGCAGAACACGATTTCTATTATTTAAGTTCCGTAATGAAAAATGTCTAGAAACTCTTGGAACTGCTCGATGATAATATTTTACCTGCATACTTATCATCCAATTGTCTGAGGTCAAAATTAAAGAATCTCCGAAAGTTCAAACTGCGAATGAATACACGTAGTATTTAACTTGCGATAAATAGCGGATCGTGAATACTGCATTGTAAACGAAGATGCTCTGGAAAATCCCCACCGTGGTGCAACATCCTCTTGCACCACATTCGAGAGCGCATGACTATTCTAACTGATCAAGAGGAACGAGAGCTGCGGCGAGGATGTGCCTCGCGAGCAATGCAAATTACAATCCTCTTTTCATTCGTTCCAGGCACCGATCGTCATTTCGCTTTCCCATTTCGCCGCGCGGAACTCATACCCACTCATACTCCAATCCCGAGACGTCGTGTAAATACGTTCGTGCTCGCACGATATTCGCACGATAGACAGTCGCTAACGAACAGCCGAGCTGGAAGACAAACGAGTTATTCAGTCGATTATTGTCCCCGCCCACGACGAGTACGCTCGATCCTTTCCTGCGCTCTCAGGTTTTCTGTCTTCCAGCCGCGCTACTCTTCCTCTTTCCCCGCCGGCGTTTACGTTATCGACCCAATGGCAATGTTAATGTTAGATGAACAGGGGCACCTGGCGCTCGCGTTGTAGTTATTGTCACGAGTCGCTGAAACTTTAATCGGCTTCCTCACCTGGCTCTCCTATTTCCTTGAAAGAACGCCGCTCGCATTTTCACGCGAACATGCTGCACGTCCCACGCCGCGAATTTTGGTCATTCGTGGCTTCGCGTTCAGGCCGGAGTAGAAAGGTGAAAATCAGTTTGACAGGTGGCAAAGTTTATTATAATACGTTTATTATAATCCCATTCTACTGAAACTTAGCGCTTGAATATTCCCCGTCGTTTTCGAAAGTGTGATGAAACAAAAGTTTTGTTCAGGAAGTATAGGAAGAAGCTGTGATACTGTACTAATAATATTTTTGCTACTGGCAGGATTTCAAGTTCCATCCTCGTCTTTCATACGATAAATTTCGCAAGATCAAGGTCGAAATATCTCTCTTGAATTAATAACGTAGATTGATACTTTGCACGGATTAAAAAATATATGATTCTTTTAAGAAGTTGAAATCTCAAAACTCCAAAAGGCTACGAAAAAGTTATTATTATCGTACTCCAAAACAACGGTGATATTCAAATGCTAATTTTGTTGATCGAATGATGTTTCTTACCCAGAAACTCCTACAATTATAGGGTCGGCTCAAGTCGAGAAAAAGTCACTGGTAAAGGGAAGCAGAATCAATGAATTCTCACTCTTAGAAATTCCAATTGTACAAACTATTTGTTCACCGACAAAATTCATATAAGTGGAGTACTTGAACTATGAATATGATACACTTTGTTTTGAATACGTAAGAAGAGATTGACAATCAAAACGATTAGTTATTTATACTTAGCGAATGAAATGCAAGTTGGTTTCATCGAACAGCTATCCACCATCCACTCAGTTTCTAATCATTGTTTCACGAATCTGATAGTTACAGTCAATCTTCTTACACAAGGATCGTCCGTTTGCTTGACAGATTCGGCTTCAGTTTCTGCTCTTCGCCATTACACTGCGTCATATCGCGCTATTCAATATTAAAACACGGTACATTCGAGCCGAGACTATTTCACCAAACGAACTACATCCTCCTGACTATTTCATC